TTTGAGGAATCTCCATACTGTTTTCCACAGTGGCTGCACCAAACTGCATCCCCACCAGCAGTGAAGGAGGGTTCCCTTTTCTCCACAGCCTCTCCAGCATTTGTCATTTGTGGACTTTTGAATGATGGCCATTCTGACTGGTGTGAGGTGATACCTCATTGTAGTTTTGATTTGCATTTCTCTGATAATTAGTGATATGGAGCATTTTTTCATGTGCCTTTTGATCATTTATATGAAATGGTCATTTTTGAATGAGACAACAGGATATATTCCAAACAACATCTTATTAAATTACACCGAAAATTTCAGGAAGATGGAGGGGAAAATAAAGGAGAGTAACTACTCTTAAGATTATACCAGAACTCTGCAACTTAGATAGGAAATCACAGCTCGGGTCCCAGCTTTAGAAAAGATAGACACAACTCATATCATTGGTTAGCATTCCTCATATACCAAGAAAAAATAAGAAAAATGACATATTACCTACTTAAGGGTATTGAACACATAATTTTGCTTCTCAAAGAAATTAAAGCTTTTTCTTTTCCCATTATCTTTCCTTACTACTGTTAGAATTGAAAATAAATGTTCACCCAGGGGAGGTCTTGGTGATGCTGAATATAGCAGGTAGCCAGGAACAGGGCTCAGCTCATAGTACTCATTCAATAATTGTTTACAGAATAAATGAAAGAGTAAATGGGTGAACTGATGAATGAACAAAGAGTGTTAATGGAACAGGTAGAAAAGAGAAAGCAAAATGCTTGGTCTCCAGTTTTTATTTGTCCCTTCTCTGTCCATTAGAGTCTAAAAGAGCATAATTCCCAGGGATAAGAAGAAACTGAAGCCCAAAATGGGTAGCTAGATTGCATGGTGTTTCATTCCTTGGCTTGGATGAAGTCCTTTCTAGCAGCTGAGATGACTTACAGTGGAGACTGATACTCTGTGGATTCTAAGGCAGAGAGATTGTAGTATGTAAGAGGAACAAACCTGTTACTTCTTGAAACACCACTTAGAAAAGGAACAGGAAAGAAGATGATTCTATGAACTTGAGAGGGGTCTGCCACCTCGGTTTTGGGCAAGATGGTATACATAGGCAAGTCTTGTTAAGAAACTTTTTGTTAGCACTTTTAAAAGGAAGTGCTCACTGCAAGTCAGCATGGATGCAGCTAGGGCAAGTGAGGCTGGACCACCTCTACTTCCTCCTCTAGCAGCAACAGATATACAAGGAACAGGGGGCTAGAAGAAGCTGTAGACCAAAGCTCTGATCTCCAGCATTTAATAGAAGTATCCTTGATCTGCTGGGAAAACAGTAAAATTCAGTAAATGGATGTACAATCTGTTGCGGGGCCGGCACGTTGTGATGTGTGCCGATGCAAAAACAAAGACAACGATTTGACCCCGAAAAATCCCTTGGAGCCTTAATCCTCCCCAATTTCCCCTCCCCCACTCTAGCCTGTCTCCTTTGAATAGAGAAGTAGTCGGTTAAGCATGAATAAAGCTTCGGGAGAAGGTGCATGTTGCTTACCAAAGCACGGAAGGCAGATGACTCAGAGTCACCAGGAACTTAGGTTCAAGAGCCTGGAGTCAGCATAGGGACCCAAGTGCTAATATGAGTCAGCTTCTTCCACCCTCCTGCCCCTGTGTGTCCCCCCACATCCTCCACAACCTGATGTTCTGCTAACCAAGGGACAAAGGCCACTGTCTGTCACCTACCCAGTCCTGTGCACACCCAGTAGCCCACAGGAAGCAGGGAGGAAGAAGACAGTCATCAGAGGCATCCACGACATGCCCCTCCATCTCTCTGAACTTACAAAGAATGGGGAAAAGCACTGCTCCTCACTTAGGGTCCTGTTTGTTGGGAGAAATCAGGCAGCTCAGAACCTCTCCATCCACCTACCGGAGGGAGACTGAAGTTGAAGGGGGAGGAATCCATGGTCTTCTCTTCCTTGCTTTCCTTAAAGCAACGGACAAGTGTTCCTGCTACATCCACCCACCTGCTCTCCAGAATATAGCTACCCACAGCCCCACGGGAATAGGAGCCACACTGGCTCGCTTTGTCACTACCTGCAGGGTCCATACGGATGAAATGGGATGCAAACTGTTGAGTGAGCAGACCCAAAGGACCTGGACAATGGAGCTCACCTCCTTTCTCTCCAGTCACGGGCTCCTCTGCCTACTCCTCAAATGCAGCACACACATTCCCCTCTCCAGGTCTCCGCCCTTGCTGTTCCCTCATCCAGGACACTTCCCCTGATCTGTGCAGGTCTGGCTCCTCCTCCACAAGCAGGTGCCAGCTGAAATGATACCCGCTCTGAAGAGACTCTCCTGACTGGCTTATTCCTCCATCCATGGCTCTCCATCCATTCCTCTTCACAGCTAACCTCCACTCAACCCTCAGGCGCTCTCCATCACATCGCCTTGATTTACTTTCTTCCTACCTTTTTAAAAAATTATTGAAGTATAATTGATTTACAATGTTGTGTTCATTTCTGGTGTACAGCATAGTGATTCAGAATATATGTATATCAGATTCTTTTTCATTATAGGTTTTTACAAGATATTGAATATAGTTCCCCGTGCTATACAGCAGGACTATTTTACACATAGTAGTCTGTATCTGCTAATCCCAAACTCCTACTTTATACCCCCACCCTTTCCCGTTTGGTAACCATAAATTTGTTTCTATTTTCTTCATATCTTTGAACTCCACCTCCTACTACCTTGTCTGTCTGACTTCCTCACTACAATCTCAGCACCTGAAAAGCAGAAGCCTTGCTTTCCTTGTCTGCTTCTGTATCCCCAGCACCTAGAAAGTGCCTGGCACACTGTAGCAGCTCAGTTGACTTCTACTGAATGAATGGACATCAGCCCTGACATTAAAGGAAGATTTCACTCCCTTAGATTATGTCCCGTACTCCTTTCAGTAACCATGTAAAGCTTTAAAAGCTTAAGGAAATTCCTTTGAAGTTCCGCTAGCTTATAATTGGTAGACTCTAGGACTAAAACACGCGCTCTGATTAGATCAAAGGTTCCTGCTCTTTCCAACAGAAGAGGGGGTTAAAATTTTATTTTTAGTAGGAGAATATTTTCTTTGCAAACAAACTGGAATCCCATTATACAAAATGGATCAAAACACAGGTGCTTAGAACCACGATAAGGTATCACCTCACACCATTAATATGGCAACTCTCAAAGATACAGACAATAACAAATGTTGGTGAAGATGTGGAGAAATTGGAACTCTTGGGCACAGTTGATGGGAATATAAAATGGTGCAATGGCTGTGGAAAACAGTGCATCTGGAACTATTAAAAAAGTATATTTTTTAGGCAGTTCCTGAAGAAATTAAAAATGGATTTACCATACGATCCAGCAATCCCACTTCTGGGTATATATGCAAAAAAATTGAAAACAGGGTCTTAAAGAGATATTTATATGCTCGTGATCATCGCAAAATTTATTCACAACAGCTAAAAAGTGGAAGCAGCCCAAGTATCTGTGAACAGATGGATGGATAAGCAAAATGTGATTCTATGCACACAATGGAATATTATTCAGCCTTCAAAAAAGAAAGGGAATTATGACATAATGCTACAAAATGGATGAACCTTGAAGACACTATAATAAGTGAAATAAGCCAATCACCAAAATACAAACTCTGTATGATTCCACTAATAGACAAGGTACCTCGACCAGCCAAATTCATAGAAACAGAAAGTAGAACAGTGATTTCCAGTGGTTCGGGGAGGGGAGAATGGGGAGTTATTGTTTAATGGGATAGAGTTTTAGTTTTGCAAGATGGAAAAAGTTCTCTGGATGGATGGTGGTGATGATTGTACAGTGTGTGAATGTACTTAATACCACTGAACTGTACACATAAGTGTTCCCGATGGCAAGTTTTACATTATATGTATTCTGCAACAATAAAAGGAAACTGAAAAAGCCACACAGGTGCCTAATCTGAGTTTGGTGGGAGTGGAGGTGGGAGACATTCACCTCTACCTGGCTCTACTAGGGTAACCAACTCATCTGAGAGTTAGCACTGAAAGTCCCACATCCCAGGAACGCCCTTAGTCCCAGGCAAACCAGGATGGTTGGTCACCCTACCTCTCAGTCACTAAGCCACTGTGGCATCCTGTGCAGGGATCCTGCAGCACAAACTTGAGGTGACAAGATACAGCTGCATTCCGTGGAACACACTGCCCTGCCTCTGGCTCCCCCAGCTCGATCCAAAAGAAACCTGTCCCTCAGTCCCACTCCTGGTGTCAGTCCTGGCTGAGCAGAGAGCCCTGTGCCACTTCCTTGGTGGCTAAGGATCTGATCAAGGTCCCTGTGCTGGGCAGGGGGCAGGAGCCTTCAGCTCGGCCTAGGTGAGGGCTTCCAGTCCAGTGCTGGCTGGTGAGGCCCAGCCATCCCAGGATCCCTCTGGACCCAGCTCCCTACTAGGCCTGAGTCTTGTGCTCGGGGTGGACACAGCACAGTACGCCCACACCCCTATCCCGGCCAGCCCTCGAGCTGCTGGTGCTGAGACAGTCTCCCGGGCCTCTGAGCCCATGGTCCACACCTGAGGATGGGCTCACTGAGCGGGCTGACCCAGGCTCCCTGGGGAGGAGCAGGAGAGGAGAGAAAAGCCTTTGGTCTCTGGGCTTCTCTCACCACCCTCCTCAAGATATAAGCCAAATGTGAAGCGCAGAGTCATTCTCTGCCTTCCGCTTTTCTTGGGCTAAATGACTTAGTTCTCATATTTTAGATATGTCATTGGTCACAATTCCAAAAAAGCCACACTCCCATGCAATCTTAGATCTTTCGATCTTGTGACTTCCTGAGCAGCAACTTCTTATAAAGGGGGCTCAGGGTCTGGATTTCAAGTAGCCAGAGAACGCAGGAGTTCTCAGCCCAGCCCTGTTCCTGCAGCTGTCAGCCACCAGAAGGATGAGGGTCAGCCTGGCCACCCTGGCCTTCCTCCTCACCATCGCTGCCCTCCACTCTGAGGCCAGTCCAGGTGAGACCTCTTCCTCTCATTGTTCTGAGCAGAGAACACGGTGGGTGGAAATGGTGATGGGGCTGCAGGGGGTGGGGGGAGGCGGGGGGTGCTACAGGGAGATGTGGGTGGTCCAGAAAGGTGGCCCAGAGGTCCCTGCGAGACAGACAGCGTCTATACCAGGGGTGTCTCACAAGTCCTGGTCAGAAGTTGCTTCTCCTCCTCTGGGGAGAGGACAGCTGCCTCTCAATACAGCTTTCCTGACCCTTGGTCCCCAGGCTAGAGAGAGAGGCTGACCCTGAGCCCTCCAGGCTGTCGGCTCAGCTGTCTCCCAGGGACGCACAGGAGCCAGGCAACCACAGAAACTGGGAGGGAGGCAAACACAAAAGATCAAACTGTCTTCACGGCTTAGATTTTACCATAATTGGATTGGTTGCCAACACTGAAAAATTGGAAACATTGAAAAATCCACATTGCCCATTTCTTTCGCAAATGTGGAAGATCAAGCAGACAGGTGCCCAGTTTCTGTGAGCTAACCTCCAAGGAACTGAGGTGGTGATGCTGTCCCTTTAGCCAGGGGGCGCTCCCGAGGCGTCCGGGGTCCCCACTGCCGGGCCGCACCCACCTGCCATCATCTGGCCTGGGAGGGCATCTGAGCCTAAGACACCTTGTCAGCCTCCCTATAGGAGTCATCTCGTGTGTATCCAGCACAGAGCCACTCCTGGCATGTATGTGATAAGCTCTGACTCCCAGCTCACCGCCCTCAACAGGCATGGCTGTCTCTGCAGTGGGTGAGAGCCAGGGCAGAAGGGGGCACGGTGGGGGCCCTGGAGGAGGTTTCCCCCGAAACTACTCTCCTGAGCGGAATTGCAACCAAATTCAGAGACAGAAAAACACTCCTTCCCAGGGCTGTCATTTAACATCGTGCCAGTGCAAAGAGTGATGGCTGTTTTCTAGGAATTTTGATTGCAAAAGAGTTTTGGTTTTTCTTTTTCACTGCTCTCCCCTAATTCCAGTTATTGTCGTGTGACTTGCCATCTGCATATAGGATAAGGAGCACTTTCTTGCAGGGCTGTTGTGAGGGATGGAGATAAGCCACATCAGGAACTAAGCCAGGCACCAGGCTTTTAGCAAAGACTTAATTCAGGTCTTCCTTGACCTATGATGGGGTTCCCTCCTGATAAACCCTTTGTAAACTGCAAATAATGGAAGTCGACAATGCATTTCATGCACCTAACATACCAAACAGCATAGCTTAGCCTCGCCTCCCTTAAACACGCTCGGAACACTCACATAGCCTACAGCTGGGCAGTAGCATCCAACACAAAGCCTATTTTAGGATAGAATGTTGACTAGCTCGTGTCATTTTTTTTTTGAACATTGTCCTGAAAATGAACAACAGACTGGCTGTCAGGGAGCAGAGTGGTTGTCAGTGTATTGGTGTTGACTCTGGTGTCCCTGTGCCTGACCAGGGAGCTGCAGCTGCCCTGCCCAGCATCCCGAGAGAGGACCTACCACATATCACGAGGCCAGGACAAGATCACAATTCAGAATTCAGAGTAGTTTCTACTGAATGTGTATTGCTTCACACCGTCGTACAGTTGAAAAATCCTAAGTTGGGGACCATCTATAAATGGAAGGGTTTTTTTTAAAAACATTTTTTATTGATTTATAATAATTTTACAATGTTGTGTCAAATTCCAGTGTAGCGCACAATTTTTCAGTTATACATGAATATATATATATTCATTGTCAC